TGTGTGTGTGTGTGTGGTTAGGGGGGAGGGCACTGGCTGGACTGTCATTGGGCTCATTGACCTTACAAGAATGGGCAATTACATGTGTTGTACTTGAAATGTGCTCCTACATGCAAGAACTTGTTACACTCACCACTTTGAGACCCATGGTCGAATCAACATCATCAATAGATATACATGTACGTCATTTTGAAATTGACTTGAAAAAGCATAAATTTTCAAGATCTAACTCCAACAATTTCATGCTATAGGAATTTCTTATCAAAATGAAAGGGCAAATATTGGCCTAAGGAACTGTGCTTATTGTCACCAAGCTGTTAATATAAACAAAGCCCAGACAGCAACATTTCTCAGGAGAGAGAAAAAACCCAAACTTTTTCATTCTTTGAACAATGAATTTGTACCTAAATTACATATTTTTCCTTATTCGTTTAAACATTTAGAATTTGAATTTTGACAAAGTATTTCCTGAGTACATGCGACTGATATTACAGATTAAGAAACCACCAAAAAAAAATAAATTTTTTTAAATAAAAAAATTTGGACTTTGTTAGCTAAATTTTAACAGACAATACACATGAAGTGAAATCTTCACCAAACTGACCCACGACAGTGATGGCAATAGGGTCACTTGGTTCAGATTCACCGCCACCACTCTGCATGGTGCAAACGTAGTCTCCACTGTGGTTCATCGAGACGTATTTCACTTCAAAATTGAAAAGGATCTGTCCAACATCATCCAGTTCTGGTTTAGTAGACTGGGCGACTGGGGAGTACCCATTGGTGGCATTGTCCCAGCGAAGCAGTGTAGCTTGGGTAGATGTTGCACCTACGCCTTGACAATGTAGGATCAGTGTATGGTCCACTTCCACTGTCTGTGACCAGGTGGTGAAGATAAAAGGCATTGGGGGTCTTCCAGAAGCTGAGAAAAGATTAAGTTATTTGTGTCAGGCACTCGTCAGTTTTTGGACAAAATATTAATATAGAGTTATTAGAATCATCTTAAAGCTCGTTCATTTGTTTTGCTTTTGATGATCATAAATAAATACCCATCCATCTTGAATAGAAGTTCAGATACCTGTTATTGTATAAGGTGAAGGGTGAAGAATGCCTGGTGTCAGTAGTAAAGTTAATGAGAAAACGGCTGTCAGATTTTGCTGACTACCAAAACTTGAGTGTCCTTGCAGACTGCAAATTTACAAAAAGGGCCCTCAATGTAGCTTGTTCCTTTGAAAAGGCCAATTCATGCATCCATGCAACCTATCCGTAGTAAAATACAGTTGACCCTGCTCTAACGGCCCCAAGTATACAGACAATCAGAGTACAAACGGCCACCTCCTGCTTCCGCCTTAGCATATTTTTAACATCCTAATGACACTGTGTAAGACATCCACTCGAATAGGAGGACCACTTTTGTCCTCGACAATGGGTGGCTGTCACAGACAATTTGAAGGTAACTCTTGAAAACATCTATTATCAGTTGTTCATGTGCGATTTATTTTTAAGTAGAACTATCGTCTGACAAATGTTTATGAGTGAAATTTATTTTCAAGGATCATCTCATCATTCTTTCTGTCTCTCGTGTTATTCTTTTTCTCTTTGTGCTCCATTCGCTGAGCAAAGTTAGGTGCGAACACGACGTCCTTTTCTTTGGGTTCAGTAGTTTGTTCAACTTTCATGCCCCCATCCCCACCTCATAACCCTTATTATAAAGTCAGTTTAAGGGGAATGCTTTATTCTTATAGCTTGCTCTGAAAAGAGTAGGCCTACAGTTATGAATATAAATTATAGATTTCGTTAGCCCTAACATTAAGTACCATTTGTAGCAGAAGGATTTACAGGGTGCTGCACACTGGCAACCACAAATTGTGGCATGTTTATGAAACTGTTTTGTTTTGGTGTGATCATTAATATTGCGTATTTGGTACTCTTTGTGTCTGTGTGTCTGATTAGATGTATTTTATGAGTGTGTGTTTGCCGTTGTAGCCTACATTTCTCTAGGGGGGTCAATACCTTTTTTTTTCATTCATTCATTCATTTATTTCTTTTTTTTATCTATTTATTTTATTTTTTATCTATCTCTCTATTTATCTATTTATTTATTTTTAACTTAATTAATTCATTCATTCACCTGTATTTATTATAGTAGTTGATTGAAACTTCCTTTTCACAACATTAGCTCATATAAATGCATTCAAGAAAAGCGGATAAAAGTTGTATAATAAGTTTTCAAGGGGAGCCTACTGAGAAAGCATCTATGTTATAAACATAAATATGTCTCTGATGTAAGCATAACATTTAGTATAATAATAAATTATTTATTTCCCTAAGCTCCACTCACGTCTCAACGGGAAGCTAGCACTGCGTGGGAGGGTCCAGTCTTCCATTTGTTGTTCACATGTGTAAAAGCCCTCGTCGTACTTGGATACCAAGTTGAGCTCCAAATTCGTTCGGGTCTCCGCGATAGGTTTTTTATTCTTTCTCCACCGGATGTCATATCCAGTTGAGTTTTCTGTTCCTTGGCAGGTGAGCGTGATGTTTAAACCAGTGATGTTCAAAGGAATGGTCTCTGGGTCAGTTTTGATGACTGGCGCATCTGTGGAAAGAAAAGTGTTGGTGAAGTGAAGAAATCATGAAGGGCTTTCAGAAACATGATGTTTATGACATGCCATGGGTTTAACACTTCTGGGGATGGTAAAGAAAGGGTAAAAACATGGTAAATGTAAAATGCAGTCGAAACTAAGACAGCAATCTATTGTTGAGGAGAATAGTGGCCATCTTAGACAGGCGATTGCCTTACATAGTGTCATAAAGATGTAAAAAAACGCAAGGGAGAAAATGAGAAGTGGCCAATTGTACAGGCAATTGTTTTATATGGGCAGCCATTTGAGCAGATTCGACTGCATCATGACGACCACAGACTGTTGATTCCTCTCTCTTTAGGACATAGTCACAACCCAACTGAGACACCAATGGTGACAGTGGATGTTCGCTCTAAGTTAAGCAGTTTGAAATAGTGGGCTTTACTTTTATCAGGAAAAAAATCTAAAAGTATGGCGTCAGAGGACAAATGTTAGATAATGTCATAGCTCTATATGTACCAACAGCAGCAGCTCAGTAACAACGAAGGAAGGCAATACAGACTGGTTCAAAGTTAGATCTGGAGTATGACAGGCATGCGTTTTATCTCCCCTCCTGTTTATATATTGACACAATAACGCAAGACACAAACCAAATCCAAGAAAGCCTAAATGAACTTCTATTCACAGACGACCAATGTCTTACTAAATTCATACAAACCAACAAAGCCTCCAAAATCAAACTACTGAACGGAACAACAGCTGCTAGAAATTTAACATGAAAATAAGCACATCAAAAACAGAAATTACAGAAAGTTAACCAAAACGTAGTCCCTGAACATCCATGTCAATAGTAAACAACTGAAACAGACGGAGGAGTTTAAATATCTTGGCAGTACGTTTTCTGAAAACAAATCCATAGAGAGAGAAATAGAAATGTGAACTCAAAAAGCCAACGCTGTCACCTATCAGCTAGCAGTCCTCCTATTTCTAATTCAAATAATTATATATATCTCCATGGACACAAAGAGACAGCTTATCACCTTAATATTCATACCAACATTGTGCTACCAGTGCCAGACCTGGACATTAAGTAAAACCCATGAAAGCAAAATCACTGCATGCGAAATGAAATATCTCGCAAAACAAGACGAGACAGGCAGAAAAATGAAAAAGTAAAAGCAGCTATCGACATTGTTGAGTCCCACCCGCTTTACATAGAAAGACAGAGAATAAAATTATGGTATATATGTCAACTGGCCAGTCAGCCTCGAGAGCCTACAACTCCAAGCACTCAGACTATTTAAAGGAAGAGGAAGGCCACGCAAAAGGTGGATCGAGAGTATCAAGGAAACCCTGAGGAAACATAATATCACAATCGAAAGAGCTGCGCAGCTGGCCTACCATAGAAAACTGCATCTCCCCTCGAAGCTTAACGGCAACAGAGGATGAAAAAGTAAAAGTAAAGTAAGTAACTTTTACCAAAGGAAGTGGCTATTCTCACCCGGGGTGAGAATAGAATTACTATCGACTTCTCA